TCCGGAGAGAAGGCGAGTGCAAATACACTTTGTTTACAGTTAACCTGTATTCTAATAGTCACCGTTCAAACATCTCAATTCAGAATCTGGAATTGAATTGAATTGCAATGATTCCAATCAAGAGCTAAGAGAATTGCTGGTAGTGGCCTGGCTGGAGCAGTCCTAATGGGAAGCTAAGAGTTCCCGCCTCCTCGCCTCGCCGCCTCCTTGCCATGAGCCTCGTGACCCCTGGCCCTCCGCCCGCCTTCCTCGCCCTCCGCCCCCTTTCCTCACCATCTCACTCACCGAGGCTCATGTGCTTGTCAAACTCCCTCCGCTCTGAACTCTGAGCTCCAAGCAGCCTGGGAACGCAGCACTGGGAACGGTGCTGGCTGCGCATAATAATACTGTTTGTTGAATGAACGCACCCGGGGGCGACATGCGACCCTTCCCTGGAAGACCACACACTGTGCCTCAGGAGCCCTGCCTGGGCCGCATGTGCTGCAGCTCCCCTGCCCAGGGCCCCATGAAGCCAGAGAGGCTTGTCCGCTCCGCTCCTTCGTGGAGAGGAGAGTGTAAGGACCAGGTGCTGAGTCCTCCCTCCTTCCTGCAGGCGGTGCGGAAGCAGGAGTGGACTGCCATCATCCCCAACTCGCAGCTGATCGTCATTCCCTACCCGCACAACGTGCCCCGGAGGTAAGGCCGCCTGAGCTCCCTCCCTGCTGTGCTCCCCCCGGAGCGGGGCCAGCACTGCACCCCTCCCCCCGCCCCCGCAGACCCCGTGACTGCACACCCCACACAGAAGCCCGGCTCTCCTATGCGACAAATCCCACCTTATCCGAAAACCAGCAGCTTAACAATGAGGAGCTTATACACGTTCCGCCTAAATCAGGCCTCAGTCTACGAGCTGTAAATTCTAACATGTCAGGGTGCTGGGTTTTTATAAGCACCGATCTTTTCATAAAAGCGTTCACGGGCACATCCACGGTAGGCAGGTGACGCGCCGGGAGCAGCCAACCTCCGCTCGCTCCTGTTTTCTCCTGAGCTCCCGGAAAACTGTTGGAGCTTTCCTCTCCAGCCTCCCATTCCTCACGGCTCTCTCGCTCTTTCTGAAGAAATGTGCTTTCCAGATTTACGGACGTAATAAAAGCCAAATTGATTTTACTTGGAGGCGTATTTTGAGATTTACTCACTAGAGACTAACTTATGGATCAATAAATTTTAATTAGCCCAAATAAGTCACTCACTACTTGCCATTCATAGAACCATCTTACCGTTATTAAACTTCTAAAATGAGAATATATCCATTACCTCTTTTTGGGGAGAACAAAGTGATTTGTGTAGCACCCCCTGCAGTGTAGACCTGCCTCAGGCTCCCGGGCTGTGCAGGTGCTGGCTGTGGGCTGTGTCACAACACAGACCTGCTTCTGTTTACGCTACAGTCTGCCTGTGCCACTGACGCAGAGCAACTCGGGTGATTGTGTAAGGATCTCCCGTCCGCGTGGGCGCCAGCCCTCCCCCGTCGCAGGGACGGCCCAAGCTCCCCACAAGCCGTCTCTCTGCACCAGCTGGTCACGTGGTTGTCTTAGGTGGTCGTAGTCCCTCTGTGAGCAGAGGCCCAAAAAAGGACGATACGGAAATCTTACCGCAATCCGGTGGCTACAGGGCAGAGAGTTCAAGGCAAGCAGGATGTGAAAGCAGCGCCGAACGTTGTCCCAAGTACCCTTGTCGAATGTACCTCAGAGCAGCGTCCGCAGGAGCAAGGGGAAATGTCACAGCGGCCCGAGCCAGGCCGCCGAGTGAAAGCTGACCCTCAGGGCCAGCACGGTTAGTCCTGCCTGAACGCAGAGGCTCTGTGTGCGGGTAACGCAGGGACAGGTGGGGGAATGACTGGAATGAGTGAGTGGATTCATTCAGAAGCTGCCCTGCTTTTTGGTCGCGGTGGAATCGTATCGTTAAGTTAAACTGTCGTTCTGACTCTTCCGTTGACCGGCAGCTGGAGTGCCAAGCTGTACCTGACGCCGAGCAACATCGTCCTGCTGACGGCCATCGCGCTCATCGGCGTCTGCATCTTCATCCTGGCCATCATCGGCGTCCTGCACTGGCAGGAGAAGGTCCGTGCGCCCGCGAAATGCTCGCTTTGGTTAAGGAATGGGCTGCTCCTTCAAACACCGCATTCTAGGCCTGTGACACGAGTGAGGTTTTCTGATGTTTCCATTTCTGCCCATGACGTCTTGTTGTTGTTAATCCTCGCCCGAGGACATCGTCCCCATTGGCTTTTAGAGGGTGGAAGGGAGGGAGGGGAAGACATACAGGGAAACATCAGTGTGGGAGCAGCACATCGAGTGGCTGCCTCCTGCACAAGCCCCGACTGGGCCCAGGGATCGACCCTGCAGCCCAGGTGTGCGCCCTGGACCAGGAATCAAATCCTCGGCCCTTCGGTGCTTGGGCCAACGTTCTAACCACTGGGCATGCTGGCCAGAGCCATAATGTCACCTTATTGAGACTTGCTTTATCCCCTTAAGGGACTGTGTCTCAGCGGGTCATACAGATCACAGGAGACGATTTACTTTAAAATGTTGATGTTGTGCAATAGTGGTAGAGGGATCACCCCAAGTCACCAGGTACATGGGAAAAATTTAGTTGGAAACAATTTCCTAACGGCCTGAGAAAATGGTCATCATTTTTGATGAGTGTCCATGATTTCCTGGGAGAGCTGTGGATGGCCTTTTGCGGGGATGATCCCTCTCCCCTCTCTCCATCTCCTTCTGTCTCTCTCTCTCCCTCCCTCCCTCCCTCCCTCCCTGAGAAGAATCGAGATCACAGGCTCACAGCGGGCCCCAGCTCTCGGGCGAGGAGCTGAAGGGGCCCATCTGCCTTCTGTCAGGTATTCTCTGCACTGAACTGAGGTCAGCGCTTCAGTGTAACACCCTGAATAATTAAAAACAGAACCCCGCATATGCAGGTTTTCACACAGCGCCCATGAGGGACCAGGCGGCAACCACAGTTAGTGGCCGTTTTGATGCAAATTGAAAAGGCTCATTCCTATTCGTACATGAATATAAAGTACGTAACTAGCAGGTCACAGAGTGCTTTCCCGAAAAGGGCTCCTGGCTCCCTGCCTGCCTCCCGCCCATCCACCCACGCTGGCTGCTCCTTCCTTCTCCCTCACCGTGGCACCCACCCGGCTCCCTGCTTTCCACACGTGCCTGCCAGCTTCCGCTACAGTCCTCTCCCTCTCAGGACATGGGCAGCATTTTTCACTTTTAAACATATATATATGTTTCTGTTAACTTCAGAAAGGGAGGGAAAGGAAGCATTGATGATGAGAGAGAATCATCCATCAGCTGCCGCCCCTGCACCCCCCACTGGGGATCGAGCCCACAAACTGGGCATGTGCCCTTGACTGGAATTGAACCCTGACCTCCTGGTTCATCTGTCGATCTTCAACCGCCAGGCACATTTTTCACTTTTTATTCTGAAATACTGCGCAGTATGTTAGGCCTTTTTCTTTCTAGGCTTTAAGTTCCTTGAGAGCAAAATACAAAAATGAGGGTCTTTATAATCCCTCGAAGTACCAAGCACAGTACTTTGCTGGGAACAGGGTCAATTAATATCTGCTAAATCAATAGGGTAGCCCCAAAATAATGACTGCACTTTATTTAATATGACTTAGATTCGCTGACTAACATCAGGCAGGGGCAGGAGTGAGAAATGTGATCGCTGTCCCGTCCTTCCAGAACCTCATGTTTACTCCGACTTCCACATAAATGCCCCGCGATCTAAAGGAAGCGTTTAGGGAACGGCTCCTGTTGGCCGTTAGAGTCAGTGCGGCTCCGTAGGTAGAAAATCGCTCCTGCAGACTTCACACCCGGGCACAGGCGGTTCCAGAAGCACCTGGTCCGGTCACTGCGGAGGCTTTTCTGACTTACCCTCTTCACCCAGAGCCGAGGCGCCTGCTGCCACTTCCCGCGTCTGTAACCGGGTCTGCGCGTCTGTAACCGGGTCTGCGTCTCTTTCAGAAAGCGGACGACAGAGAAAAGCGGCAGGAAGCCCACCGGTTTCACTTCGACGCCATGTGACCTGCCCGGCGCTGCACGTGGACGGCGCTCGCCGGATTCATGGAATCGCCGGGTTTGGCTGGGACAGGAAAGGGGGTTGAACATTATTTATAAGTGACGCTTCCTTGGTGATTTGGGGGAGCGCCGGGTCTCTCTGGAGCTCTGGCAGCGGGCGGGTCTGGGGCTGTTTGTGCCCAGCTGTCTGTTCCTTCGTGGGCGGTGCATGCACTCAGTGTCCGTGTTTATAATCCTCGTAGAATGACGGGAGATGCCCTGTAAATAAACTATTGAAAGGAGCAGGGGTTTATGTTCTGCTTGACCTGGTCTCGCTTCTCACCCCAGCGATACACTGGCGAGCGTCTCTCAGGTGAAGTTACCCACCTGCCCCGTCCGGCAGGTCGGGGCCTCACTGCTGGCAAACGGCACGGGGGCTGGGAATCCGGCTCTGGAATCCGCTGGGACAGGCTGCCTTAGCCCCGGTCCCAGCCTCGCAGGCGGTGGGAACGTGGCCGATGCCTGGCCACGGAGCCGTCTCCTTGGTCATCAGCGGGCCGGGCGCCGGTCAGCGGGGTCCCCGGGAGCATCTGATGGGACAGGGCATCTGCCGGGAGCTCGGCGCCCAGCACAGCGTGAGCGGTCAGGGTCATTGCTATGTCGGGTACTAGCCTTAGACGTCCACACTGACATCAAAATGCAGACTCCCAGAACCTTATTTCCGGGCCTCAGGAATCGCATGCGGAAAAGCTGAGGGCCCGGTGGCTGCTGTCTGACAGAGGGTGTGTGCGCATGTTAACTACAGATAGGGGGTGCCCTCCAGCAACGGCCGGCCCTGAAACCTCACCCCTCCCCACGCCAGCGTGGGTTTCCGGACGGAGCCGCTGCGGGCGCACCCGAGGCCACGGCCACAGTCGCGTTTCCTTCTGCGGCGCTTGGGGGAGCCGAGGCTCACCTCCCGACACCACGTCGGTGCGAACTTCCGTGGGCGCCACCTCGCCGGAGTTCCCGCAGGCTCAGATCCGAGCGTGGGGAGCTCACGGAGCAGCCCCCACAGTTGTCTGCTGTGAATGGACATGCGGTGGCTCTAAAACTGCAAGTCCCTGAGAACAGTCACTTTTGCCTCGTGGTGTTTTCCCTGCGGGTCCCTGAGACCGTGTCTGCGCGGCTCTGTGTGTCTGAGCATGTTAGCGTGTCTTCCTAATAAACCTCCCGGCCTGAGTCCTCGCCAGGCATGTCCATGAGTCTAAGCGATGATCCTGGAGCAGGAAGCGGCGGGGCCGTTAGCACGCCCTTCATGGCCCCGCCCAGTATGGCCCCATCTACCCGCCAAAAACCGTGATGCCTTCTCAAAAGCGGGATCCCAAAATGGTTCTCCCTCCTGGGCCTCGGGCGGAAAGCTCACAGCTTCTACACACACTGCCCTTCCCTCCCCCCTCTCGCAGAGGAAAGGCGGGGCCCGTAACTGGAGAGACTGAGGCAGGACCCTCGCCGCACGGAGCACCCGCGCACCGGGGAACAGCACCCATAGGCAGGCTCTCCCCGGCACAGAGAACAGGAGCGGGCCGCACGGTAGCCGCCTCCCGCAGGGAAGCCAGAGCAGCGTGTGGCGAGATCAGGAAATGCAGGACCACTCGAGTCCATCATGCACCTCTGGTTTACACGGGCCCAGGGGATCTGACAGTCACTGCAAGAGAACGAGTTTTAGTCCATGTTTTAAAAAATAATTTTCCTTCTGTCCTTCAGAAGACCTCCAAGAAGGAACAAAGCCAGTCAATGGGAACCCTCACAAATGCTAGAGCGACTCGAAAAGCAGCTGAAACTGGCCTTGTGTCCAGCAGCCGTGCATTCTCACTGGAGGCCTCAAGCGAGCCCACAGTGAGTTTCGAGATAGGATGAGCTCCCCTGTCTCCTAACCGGTCCCAAGCTAGGTTAGAGGGCTGCACCTTGCCCGGCCGGCATGGCTTAGTGGGTGAGCATCAACCTATGAACCCGGAGGTCACAGTTCAATTCCCAGTCAGGGCACAGGCCTGGGTTGCGAGCTCCATCCCCAGTCGGAGGGGGGGCGCTACAGAAGGCAGCCGATCCATGATTCGTTGATGTTTCTCTCCCTCTCCCTTCCTCTCTGAAATCAATAAAAATATTTTTTTTAATAAGAAGGCTGGGCCTGTATGCTCCCACACTTACCAATCATCGGTGACAGGCCGCCCCAGGAGCCTCTATGAAGGAAAAGAAAAGGGAACATTTTATATGCCACTTGGGACATCTAACTCGGATTGAAAATCTGAGAGCAACAGTCATACTTTCGAATTTAAAATTACTCCTACCTATGCCCTAGCCTAGGGGTAGGCAAACTTTTTGACTCGAGGGCCACAATGGGTTCTTAAACTGGACCGGAGGGCTGGAACAAAAGCATGGATGGAGTGTCTGTATGAACTAATATAAATTCAAGGTAAATATCATTACATAAAAGGTTTCGGTCTTTTTTTTTTTTAGTTTTTTTTTTTTTTTTCATTTCAAACGGGCCAGACCCAGCCCGCGGGCCGTAGTTTGCCCACGGCTGCCCTAGCCAGTTTGGCTCAATGCATAGAGTGGGCCTGGGGACTGAAGAGTCCCGGATTCGATTCCGGTCAAGCGCACATGCCCGGGTTGGGGGCTGGATCCCCAGTAGTGGGTGTGCAGGAGGCAGCTGATGAATTACTCTCTCTTATCATTGATTCTTTTCTCTTCCTCTCTCTGAAATCAATAAAAATATATTTTAAAAAAAGAGCAGGGACAACTAAACTACAGTAGCTACACACGTATTTTCACCTGTGTGGGAAGTGACCAACACCGTCACCCCCCTCTGTATTGTTTTAACCAGGCATCCATGGGTGGGAAACGCTAAAGGAAAGGACTGCCCACGTTAACATGATGGCTTCATGTTGTACCACTGAACCAGCCTCCGTTGTGGCTGCGAGTAAACAGGTTTCAGCAACCATCACTGGAGCAGACAGCCGTCCTGGGGCAGCAGGAGGGACTGGGGGGAAGGAACCATGCGCTGCGGGCACAGGACTCTGGGAGGAGCCGCAGAGGCTAGGCCTGTGCCAGGCAGAGCGGGCAGGAGGCCAGGAGCCCGTGCCGGGCGCTGGCAGGTAAGCGGGGACAGACGGGCGCTCCTGGGGGGCTTCCGGGAAAAGGCACCTGGATCCAGAACCCCGGCTGAGAGGCATGCGCAGGGCTCGCCCCTCGCTTCCGGAGCATATGGCCTCTCCGCAGTCCCGGCCACAGTCTGTGCTTCCCCTCCTTCCTGCAAACTCCACCTGCTGCCCTCCCACAGTCCATGCGAAAGGCGTCCCCAGGGAGCCGCAGCGACCACTGCCAGTCCCTCCCCGGGGGCTGCTCCCCAGCCAAACCCCTCCCCGGGGGCTGCTCCCCAGCCAAACCCCTCCCCAGAGCTGCTCCCCTGCCACACCCTCCCTGGGAAGTGGGGGGCTGCTCCCCAGCCAGCCCCTCCCAGCCTCTCCTTGGGAAGTGGGGGGCTGCTCCCCAGCCAGCCCCTCCTTGGGAAGGGGGTGCTGCTCCCCAGCCAGCCCCTCCTTGGGAAGTGGGGGGCTGCTCCCCAGGCAGAGAAGAGCCCGCTGAGGTTCCATCACAGTGGCACCACCAGTAAGAGCTGCGAGGCTGAATGGACACGTGCTGTGCGTGCGCTTGTTAAATGACCACGGTGGGCCCAGCCACGCGGCTCAGTGGGTGAGCGTCGACCTCTGAACCAGGAGGTCACGGTTCCATTCCCCGTCAGGGCACAGGCCCAGGTTGCAGGCTCGATCCCCAGTGTTGGGCGTGCAGGAGGCAGCCGATCCATGGTTCCCTCTCATCATGGATGTTTCTCTCTCCCCCTCTCCCTTCCTCTCGACATCGCTAAACATATTTTTAAAATAAATTACTACGGTTGCTTTCATCTCTCCTGTTACAGCCTGAACTCGCTGCCACTGAACCTTCCCCTGTGAAAACCTGTGCCTCTGGCCTCCTCGGTCAAGAGCAGACTCCGCTGCCTGTCGGTCCAGCAGGGTCTCCCCGGCCAAAGCCCACCTCCGTCCCCTGGAACCACTGCCTCCCAGCACAGCCCTCCCCCAGACAGACGCTCTCCTCCTCCCCTCCTCCCCTCTCCACTCACCACCCCAGCCCTTCCCCTCTGAGCGTGTCACCCCTCCACGGATGACATCACACACACCTTCTTCCTTCCCTGGGCCACTGTGCATGTGGAACCTCTCGTGTTGCAGAAGCAGAGACGGCGCCTTCCTCCCAAGTCCCGCTGCCCACCGCGTCTGTGCTCGGAGCTTACTGTGTGTGCTGGTCTCCCCGGGGGCCCTGGATTGTGTCTGTGGAACGGGCTTGTAAACGTGCCATCTCGGTGTGACGGCGGGTGATGGGTGAGCCCACACATGCCCCTGTGACCCCTCCTTGGGCACGGCCATGGGCTGGAGACCTTGGTGCAGTGGTTCTCAACCTTCTGGCCCTTTAAATACAGTTCCTCATGTTGTGACCCAACCATAAAATCATTTTCGTTGCTACTCTATAACTGTCATGTTGCTACTGTTATGAATCGTAATGTAAATATCTGATATGCAGGATGGTCTTAGGCGACCCCTGTGAAAGGGTCGTTCGACCGCCAAAGGGGTCGCGACCCACAGGTTGAGAACCGCTGCCTTGGTACTTACTGGGGTCAAGTATGTTCACTAGCAAAGCCTGCGGACACTCGCTCCTCTGCCTCTCGGAGGGAGAGAAGAAGGAAAGAGCGTTCTGGACAACCTGGGAGGCTTCCTGCAGGTGCCTGACATGTCCCTAATGAGACCTGGCCGGACAGATACGCTGGAGGTCCTACTGTGTGTCAGCGCAGGCACAGATGATGCTTATCGGGGCAGGGATGCTCCCAGCAGCTATCGTTGCCTCTGGAACGTGGCTAACAGTAGGTGCTGAGTGCATGTGCGAGCCTCCCTGCCTGCAAGCAACTTTATAAATTTTTTAAAATATTATTTTTATTGATTTCAGAGAGAAAAGGAGAGGGAAAAGAGAGACATCAATGATGAGAGGGAATCACTGATCGGCTGCCTCCTGCACTGGCCCCTACTGGGGGTTGAGCCAGCAACCCGAGCCTGTGCCCTGACCGGGAATCGCACCGTGACCTCCTGGGTCATAGGTCAGTGCTCGTGACCTCCTGGGTCATAGGTCAGTGGTCGCTGGCGGGCCAACAGCTCACATGTGGATGGAGTGGGGGGAGGGAGATCCGGGGAAGAACAAATAAACAAGTAGGTGATCAAATTACCACGGAGCCACGCAGCCGGCCCTTCACACCCAACACAGCAGCTGGCAGAGCGGGAGCTTTTCATCAGCGGAGTCAAGCGACCCAGGAGCCTGGCCCCGCGGCTGGGAGGGCAGGTCTGGGGCAGGTGTCGGGCCCCCAGCCCGCCCTCCCGCCCTCCCTCCCT